CGAGAAGAGGGAACCTCAGCAGAGGAATTGCCTCCATTAAATTGGCCTGTGGGCATGTCTGTGAGGCATTTTCCTGATTGATGATTGATGTGGGAGGGCCCCAGCCACTGTGGGTGGTGCCACCCCTGGGTAGGTGGTACTGTGTTATGTAAGAAAGCAGGCTGAGCAAGCCATGAGGAGCAAGCCAGTAAGCAGTGTTCCTCTGTGGCTTCTGCTTCAGTTCCTTCCTCCAGCTTCCTGCCTTGAGTTTCTGCTCTGACTTCTCTCAACGATTGACACGTAAGCCAAAGAAATCTTTCCTTCCCAAGTTGGTTTTGGTCAATGTTTTATCACAGCAATAGAGAACGCTAACTAGGATGTGGACCTCACTGTCACTGGGGAAGCAGAGACCCTTCTGTGAGGCCCTCATCTATGGAGGAGACAGGACAGCTTGCCTGCATGTAGGGGATCCCGGGTCTTTCTGTTGAACTGAATCAAGCATTGGAGTAATGGAGAAGGCAGAGGAGACAACGCCGCCCTGTACCCAGTTGTCAGAGTTTCCAGTCAGCAGATCTTTGCACCTAGAACTCTCATCTCTTTGGTTCAGTGTATGTAGCGACATGCAAGGCCAGTGTCTTGTGACAGGCAGTTTAATCTTACCTGCCTGCTGTGAGCTACACTCACCATCCTAGAGAATTGCAAAGTGGAAATTGTCTCTTAACCCTGGTAAACAGGAAGGAGGAGGGAAGGCCCTGACAAAATATTACAACTTAATTGTATTTCTCAGCTGGGCTCAGGAACCTGCTTCCTCCTCAGGCGAAGGCTGTTTACCAACTCTCCCAGCCCCACAATAATTATTTCCTTAACCCATGACGGGCTAGCACCTTCACTTGGGATAGGCTACACTATGGGGAAGCTGAGTAAGGCCTTTCAGGTGCTCAGGAGGGGAACCCTGCCTTCTTGGCTCTGGCTTTCGGCTGTGGGGGTGGCAGCAGGGTGGGCCACCCCTCTAGAAGAGGGGTGGGGGAGGGGATGAGACAAGCCTTTCTGCTGGCCTGGTTTTCTGGTCACAGGTGTTTGTGCCTCTAAATAAATGTGCAGTGTCAGGACTTAGCAGCCCATCAGCTGAGACTTATAATGAGGGCTGAGCAGGGAAATACGATCCGTCCTCGCTGGGCACTTGTCATTATGTTGGATGAACCCGAATTCAGGCCTAATTACGAAGCTGAGAGAAGGGAGTTTGGATGTGGGAGAGACAGGGGGGAGGCCGCCTGTCAGGGGACCCATGAGTGTTCTGCTGTTTTGGTTGGAGAGATGTCTCTGTGCTTCCTGGACAGGTGTTAAGAACAATGCATTTTGAGTATCCATTCCAAACGAGCATCCAGAGGTAAGAGCAGGATCAACAGTGAGCCGCCACAAGGCTCACAAAGGCTCACCTATCATCTCACCTGGGTGTCATTCCATTGAGCATTTTTCTGATCACCTATTTGTTTATTCATTGCTCTCACACAAGTGAAGCAGAGCCCCAAGTCCTCACTGCAGTGGGTTGAGTAGCGGCTCTCCCACATTTCTGTCCTTCCCTGAGCCTCAGACTGTGACCGTACTTAGAAGGATGTGGTCATATTGGGCTGGGGGGAGCCCTTCATCCAATGTGACTAGTGTCCTTTGAACAAGAGGAGGAGGTAGGTGTGGTGATGCCTGCCTATAACCCTGGCATTTGTGAGGTCGATGCAGAGGATCTCAAGCTCAAGGCCAGCCTGGGCTACACCTCAAGTCCTCATCTCAAAGAACAAGAAAGAAGTAGAGGAGACACAGAAGCGTGTACACAGGAAGGAAATGTAACCACGTGGCAGCAGGGACAGAGATTGAGGCAGAGCATCCGCATGCCAAGGAGCACGAAGGGTGGCGGTCATGAGGAGATAGGAGAAGAGCCCGAGGTGGATCCTCCAGAAGGGACTTACTCAGCCAACACCTTGCTAGTGGACTGTGAAAGAATACATTTCTCTTGTTCACACCGCCCAGTCTGTAACACTGTCCCAGCATCCCCCCCATGACTTCAAGTGCCAATTCCTTCCCATTCCTCGTTTATTACCAGCCCTTCCTCAACTCAGCCTGGCCTCTTGAGGGCTGGTCATGCATGCTGAACATGCTTGGTCCTCAGGGATCTTGCCTTTGCTGACTTCTTGCCTAGAATATTCTCTCTCAGAGGGTCCCACGACTGGTCCCTGTATTTTCCTTAGGTCTCTGCTCAAATGTCATCTCTTCAGAGAGAACTGCTGTAGATAGATACCAGAAATAACATCTTCACAAGGGGTGAATATAGTTAGTATATTATATGTGTGTATGAAAATGTCACAACAAATACCAGTAGCTCTTGCAACTGTTATATGTTAATAAAATGGAGAAAAAAATGAAAACTATCTTTTGTTTTTGTCTCTCTTTACCCCTTTATTATACTTAATTGCTTGGAACTCACCATCATCAGTGTGCATGTATGAATATTTTCCTAGCTTCTCCAACCAGCTTGGAAGCGCCAGGCAGGTAGGGGCCAGTTACTGCAGAATCCACAGCAAGTATTAATAGTAAGTGTTTATTGCCAATGTTACACCGTGCTGGGCAAGCAAATGTCAAGCCCATTCCTAGACTCTCCATTCTTATAATGCTTTCCACGAATATGAAGAGCTCCAAGGGAGGAGAGAACAGGTCACACAGTTTCAGGGACCAATATGAATTTCTTGGACAAGTGGTACTTGAGATTTGACTGTGGAGCTGGACTTGACCAAGTGGAGAGTGAGCAAAGATCTTGTGGTGGAAGGCAGGGTGGGATGTCTGAGAGAGTGGAGAAGGTGGGTATGGCTGGGAGTCTGAAAGCCAGGGCGGGATGACTATAGTGAGATCCTGGTTCTTATTCTGAGGGAGATGAGGCACTGAAGGGGTTAAACATGGAAGCAGAGCAGGATGGTGTGGCATGATTTGCCTTGTGTTCTGTGAAGCAAACTCTGGCTATGTTATGGTGGATTCTTTGGGAGTGACCAGCCAATGAGGAGAGCCACCTGGCTGTCGGAAGTGGCCAGATCCCAGAGGACAGGACTTGCGATGGATTGCAGTTAGTGTGTGCTGTTGTGTCAAGACACCGGACAGGAGCCACTTAAGAAAGACCCACCTGCCTCTACCTTCTGAGTACTGGCTTTAGAGGTGCGTGCCAACAGGGCCAGCCCACTTTCTCCTTTTTATTCATTCTGGGACCCTAGACCATGGGGTGATGTGACCACACTGAAGATGGATTTTTCTGTCCTCAGTTAAGCCTTTCTGGAAATATTCTCAAAGGTATTTCCAAGATGATTCTAAATTCTGCCCAGTTGACACCAAGCCGACAAGCAAGGGGGAGATGCGATGCCGTCCCCACCAATGGCTCTTGTGTTTCTGACATGTGCAGTGGAATAAAGGGATGCCAGAGGAACCACGTGTGTTTGGACATGTATGTGAGAGTGTGTCTCTATGTGGGCACTGTAATAGCCATTACAGTGTCTGCGAAATTACTGTTAGGCCATGTCAACCAGCTTCAGTGGACCTTAGTAGTCTCTGAAGAAGACATCAGTCCTGGGGAGGCTTGTGCCCTTGTAGTCGACTGGTAGGTTGGTGTTTCCTTTGAAACACGGGTTTCGTGTTTGTGCCTTGGGCATTCCCTCCTAGTCCAGTTCTGGACTTGGACATGGGACTTGCTTTGGCTAATGGCTTGCTGGTAAGCACAAAGCAGATGAGGCTGAGCAAGTGTGTGTGTGTTGACATTTCTCTTGAGATCCACCCTCAGAAGGCAGCAGCTCTGCAGGAAAGGAGTTCAGGTCAATCCCTGACATGGCAAATGCTGTGGAGACGTACTCCCGGGAGATGAGAGGTTATGGTTTAGACATAAAGTGTTCTATACAGACTTATGCCTTTGAACTCTCGGGTTTAGCTGATCGTGCTGTTTGGGAGGTTTTGGACCCCATGGGAAATGGGACTTAGCTGGAGGAAGTGAGTCATTGAGGTGTGTAGCTCAGCTTGACCTCCTGCCTCCTCTGTTTCCTGATTTGTCCCATGTGAGGAAGCTGCCCTGTCACTATGCCCTCACTGTCACGATGGGCTCTACTCTCAAACTATGAGCCAAAATAATCCCTTTGTCTGTTGCCTGGCGTCTGGTCATCATGTCACAGCAGTAAGGAAAGCCAGAATACAATAGGCCACCATGAATCCCCAGCCCCAGCTAACCAGACTCCCTCCTTTCCATCACCGTCAGTAACCACAGCTACACCACATGGAACAGAACCCAGTCTCACCCAGAGACACAAAGAGGAGCACACTGCTGTTTGGGCTAAGTTTTGGGTGCCTTTTGACACTGTACAAGGTAACTGAAGCAGAGTCAGGTGGCGGAGTTGCATTTCTGGTGGACCCCAGCAGACACCACCTAGTCGTCCTTATGCCTAGAAGTATTTTCTCTCCTTTCCTCTGTCTTCTGTGATGGCTTTCAGGTGGCATCCGAGAGCAGTTAATGGGGACCCTTCCCTTCCTGAGGCCCCTTTCTGACTTCCCCTTCTCTGCTCTTCCCTGCCAGTATCTTAGCCTGGGTTTTCTTTCTTCCTGTGTTTCCCTCTTCCACAGCCCAAGGAACCCTTAAGGCTGCAGAGGCTTCTGGAAACTGGTTTAGGATTTGCACATAGCCTGTTCCCACCACCCCTTTTGTCCCCGGTCAGAGCACTGGAGCAAAGTGAGCCCTCTTTTTGAACTAGCAGGTTTGGCCATTGTTAGCTGGCTATATTATATAATAGACCCCAAATGCTATTTGTGAGGCATCGTCAGCCAAGACAGGGGACCATCACGGGCACCTTCTTAATTATGCGCCATTAATGATGTTCTAACTGCAGTTGGGGAGCGCTTCAGTTTTAGTCCTCGCTTTAATTCTGTGCTGTGTTGTAGAAAACGCTAATGAGTCCAGAAATTCTCAAAGGTCATAATCTGAATATATTTCCTTTTCTTCTTTTCAGGGCAACAGGAATAGGATTTAAAACAATGAAAATGAAATTTACTTCATCATTTGCTTAACAACATCCTCACCCATATTATAATGAGGTATGTATTCATTCACTGGTCATTTGGACAGATTCACGTGTACCAGATTTCTTGTATGGCCCTTATTTCTGAATTCTACACAGTCCCCCCCCCCCTCTCTCTCTCTCTGATAGTTGCTTATCCTATTGATTATGAGAAATAACTGAAAAAAAAAGTCCACCCAAATCGTTAGGATATGAAAAGTGCAGATTTAGCAGGAGCAGCATTGAATTTTCCAGGGAGTCATTTATCATCCTTAGAAAATTTTGGTTCTTTGCAAATAAAAGAGAGAAAGGAGTGGTAATTGTCCTTCTCAGCTAATTGACAGAACTGTGTCGGGAACCGAGTCATTTCAGTGCCGCCTCCGATGATGGCATTTGAAGGTTGTTCCCATTCTCTCTGCTCTGCTGAATTAGGCAATCATTATTTCCCTGTGACGCTTGTTAATATAGTGGCTACTCCTCCCCACAAGTCCCTCCGTTAGACACAGGATCCAGGTAGAAATACGGAGACAAAATGCAGAAGATCAGAAAAGAGTTTGGTCAGTTGTGTGGGACTCCTAAGCTTTAAGATTCGTCCTTCATTGGAGAGAAAGGGGTGTCTGTTCAAATTGCAGTCAGGGGAACTCGAGTCATCGGTTAAGAAGGACTTTTTCATTATTTTAAGGGAGCCCAGAAGGTTTGAAATGCCTCTGGATTCCGAGGACAGGTGAGTTCACATTGTGTTGGGAAAGTGGAAGCCAAGAAGTTAGAAATGGCAGACAGTGGTGCCTGAGCAATTCCCCCCTTCAGGTGGCTTCCCTAGGGACAGGAGACTCCATGATTTTCAGGGTTAGTGACCCCTCCCTCCAGGAGTGTTTTTCACATGGAGGTCTTACACTAAGGCTTCTGATGAGATGTTAATGAGACAAGGGCCGGACTAAGAAAATTGATGCTTGTCACCGTACTTTATAACCCAAATGCTGACTTATGATGGAAACAGTGCAGATCAGCTGTTGATAAAACAGCACTTCCTCAGCAGGACAGATCAACAGCTGCTTTCAATGGCACTTGGGAAACAGCTGGCTGCCTTGTAGTAGTGACCACACGATTGAAGGCTATTTGATATTCCAGGGATGTGTGCTGCTCTGGAATACCACAGACTCAGCAATGGCGACTAGCAGAAACGTACTACTGGTTCGCAGTTCTGGAGGCTTTGAGGCCAAAGCGTGAGTGTCTGCAGGGGCCAAGAGAGGGATAGATGGAGGGGGGAGGCGGGAGGGGGGATGCAGGGGCCAAGAGAGGGATAGATGGAGGGAGGAGGGAGGATGCAGGGGCCAAGAGAGGGATAGATGGAGGGGGGGAGGGGGATGCAGGGGCCAAGAGAGGGATAGATGGAGGGGGGGAGGGGGGATGCAGGGGCCAAGAGAGGGATAGATGGAGGGGGGAGGGAGGATGCAGGGGCCAAGAGAGGGATAGATGGAGGGGGGAGGGGGGATGCAGGGGCCAAGAGAGGGATAGATGGAGGGGGGAGGGGGGATGCAGGGACCAAGAGAGGGATAGATGGAGGGGGGAGTGTAGCTTGAGTTTTCCTGCCTGGCCCATGGTCAGGGCAAATCTCTCTCACCTGCCAGTCCCACAGCCGCTCAGACCCAACCAAGTAAACACAGAGACTTATATTGCTTACAAACTGTATGGCCATGGCAGGTTTCTTGCTAAATTAATCCATTTCAATAAATCTATACCTTGCCACATGGCTCGTGGCTTACCGGCTTCTTCGCATTCTGTTTCTCATCATGGCGGCTGGCAGTGTCTCTCTGACTCAGCCTTCCACTTCCCAGCTTTATTCTCCTCCTTGTCCCGCCTACACTTCCTGCCTAGCCAATGGCCAATCAGTGTTTTATTTATTGACTAATTAGCAACACATTTGCCATACAGAACATCCCACAGCAGGGGAGGGGGGATGCAGTGGCCAAGGGAGGGATAGATGGAGGGGGTAGAGGGAGGGGGGATGCTTTTTAATAGCATATATTATACATAGTGGGTTTCATCATGACATTTTCACACATGAGCATAATGTATTTTGAGCATTAGTTACTCTCTTTTGTTCGGCTATTTCCCAGCTAATACCCTTCTTTTTCCTTCCTCCCTCCTTTCCTCTCTTCTTCTCTCCCTCCTTCCCCCTCCCCTATGACCCAATGAGTTTCATTAGGGTTGTTTACAGGATCTTGGGTGAGGTTTGCTTACCACATTTACAATAGCCAACCCCTGGGGAAAATCTCCCCATCCCCCAGCAGCCATGAACTGCATAGAAGTCCTCTGAGACTTTCAAGACAGGTAATGATAGCTACTGAGAGTTTAAGAGTACGACAGCCAATGGTCACGTCATGGCCAGAAGCCCATGAGCCACACCATGAATTTATTCTTAAGTAAGGACCCCACTCATAGGATAATGGCATTCATAAGGGCGGAACCCTCATGGGCAAGTCACTTCTTAAAGGCCCTACTTCTTAGCTCTGTTACAAGGAGAGATAAAATGTCAACCTGAATTTGGGAACAGGCAAGCATTCAAGCTACAGCAGTGACAAGTTCCTGCTCAGGCAAGAACTTGAAGATTTTTCTGCCCTGGAATGTCCTTCTACTCTCTCCTCTCTGCTCCCCACCTTGTCTGTGCTCCCCAGAACAGCTACCAGTAAGAACAGGTAACATCCTTGATTGGGAAGAGGAAGCCAAATGTGCCTGACTGATGCATTCTGGGACACTCCCTGCTTCCTGTTCCTTCTAACTTCTTGATTCCATATAGCAGGCAGGGACGGAGCAGCTCTCTGTGGAGTAAAGAAAAAATTGGAAAGTATTGCTTAAAAATATATTAGTGGGGCTGGCAAGAGAGCCCAGAGGGTAAGAGAGCTTGCTGTGTAAGCGTGAGGACCTGGGTACAACCTCCCCTCGAATCCCAGTCCTGGGGCTGGGGGGGGATGATGGCAGGAGGAGTGCTGGGGCCTGCTGGCTGCAAGTCCACTCCAGCTTCAGTGAGAGATCCTGCTTCAAGGGAAGGCAGGGGGTGGGGGTGGGGTGGGGTGGGATGGGATGGTGGTGGGGGTGGGTGGGTGGGTGGTGGTGGTGTGTGTGTGTGTGTGTGTGTGACAGAGCAGGATACCTGCTGTCCTCCTCTGGCCTCTACACACGTGTACACATCATATGCACACACATACATCTCACACACACACACACACACACACACACACACACACACACACTCACACACATGCACCACACACACATTGCACACACCACACACACATACCACACATACACACACACATATACTACACCACACACACACACACACACACACACACACCCCACACACACACATACACTCTCACCACATACCACAATGCACACACATCACACATACATACACACATATACCATACACAGACCACACATATACCACACACACATACACACATTCACCACACATATACCACACACACATACACACACTCACCACACATACACACACACACACCACATATACACACCACATATATACACACACCACACATACACACACCACACATATACACACCACACACATACACACACCACACACACACCACACATACTACATATACCACACACACATACCTGACACATACACACCACACATACACATCATATATACATGAAAACACACGCATACCACTCACACACAGACACTACACAGACACATACACCACACATACACACCACACATACACTACACACACCACACCCCCACCACACATATATATACACCACACACACACACACACACACATACACCATACACACACACATTCACTCTTAAATTGTTTAAGCTAGATATGGTGGCATATACCTGAAATCCCAGCAACTGAAAGATTGAAACAGGAAAATCATGAGCTAGCCTGGGCATATCCTATCCAAAAATAGTTGAATGGCCTGTGTTGGTCTTTTAGATATCCTCAATGTTTTTAGGCTAGTGATTTTGGAAATGAAATGTTTTTTAAAATAACAGTTTTAGTTAATAGCATTTGATATTTTAAATAAAAGGCAAGTCTAGCTTTTCCCTATACTGAACCCAGAGAGATAAAAATGTCCTGTTTTCCTCTGGCAGCCACAGCAACATCCGATTTTCGAATCAATGAAAAGATGTTGGTGCCTCTGCCTCTCACTTCCAGGTGAGTGAGCTATGACAGCGTTCTCATTTGGAAGTGAGGCAGCCCATGTTTATGTGAAGGAGTGTGCACACTCTCACTTGTTTTACGATAGAATTTAAGTACTTTTCTACTTTTAATGGAACATTTTTCCTTTGCAGCTTCAATAATTACAATGAAGCTCAGTGAGTGATATAAAACCAATTTGAGGGATGTGGTTCAGTTGGTGGAGTGATTGCCCAGCACACATGTAGCCATAAGTTCGATCCTCAGTACTACATTGAACTGAGCTATTGCCTGTAATTCTAGTATCCAGGAGGTGGAGCCAGGAGTCAGAAATTCAAGGCTACCTGTTTTTACATAGCAAGTTTGAGGCCAGCCTGGACTATACAAGATCCTATCAAAAAAAAAAAAAAAAAAAAAGCCATTTGGAAAAAAAATTCAAGCTGAGTGTGGTGACTCACATGTTTAATTGTAGCATTCTAGAGGCAGAGGCCAGTAGACCTCTGTGGTTTTGAGGCCAGCCTGGTCTATACAGCTAGTTCCAGGCCAATTAGGGCTACATAATGAGATACTGTCTCAAAAAAAAGGCATCAATCAGTCTTTTGTTCGACCAAGACAGATTTAATTATATATCTTTTTCCTTTTTCCCCACATTGTGTCTTCTGGGGGAGGTCCCATGTTTGACGACAGCCTGGTGCCTTCTAAAGTTATCATGAAAGAGGGCTGGAAGGACACGAAAGGCTGCAGCACCCATGGTCTTGTCCGGGGTGAGGTTTTTCTCCTGTTCCTCCTCTGCATGGGGAACCGCACCAAGGATGCTTGAGAGTAGCACCGAATGACGGAGGAGTTCTTCATTTCTGCTCTCATCCATCCCCACCCCTTTTTCTTTTAATACAGCGTTGGCATTCAGGGGCCGTGCCCACCAGGAACCTAGCGCACATTAATTGCAGGCGAGCCTCCTGTGGGCACATCGGCGTGTGTGGTTCCCAGAAAAAAGAACGAATCAGATTTCATTTCTGTGTCTAGCTTTGGTAGCATGACTCATCTTCCTAGCCTACAACTAAAATGTGGTTGTTAAAACAGTAACATGATATTTAGAGGGTAATTTTGATCAAGGCTGTCATAATTTTCTTTCCTGAGTAAGTCTGTATGTCCTTTGTTAGAACTCTAATTATCCTGACAGTTATTTAGAAGGAATGGTGGGCTAGGTGTTATTCAAATACGAGACCGAAGGGTTGACATCAGCCAGGGAGGGAGTGACTTTGATTTCCTAACCTGTATTTTAATGTCATATAAACTTACTGGCTTATTTTCTTCCCTGAAGACTATCATTGGTTTTCTTCTGTCTTACCTTTATATTTATCACTGAGGAAGAAGGCTGTGCTCACCTCCTTTGTCCCTATCTTGCTCAGCTCAGAGCATCCTAGAATAGGATGCCTCAGTTCAGCCACTAAGTGTGGGGCTGGGGATCTGGATCGGGGGTGACCGCCGCCGCCTTGCTGTTTCTGACTGTTGAGTCAAAGCATGACAAAGCATGGTTGTCTCCACCAGAGCAGCTGTGGCTATCTGCAAGGAATCTTTAAGATTGGGTTTGGCTTACGTCCCTCACAGGAGAAGGGGTTGGGAGGGTCATTGCACCCTTACCTGAGGCTCAGTCACTTGGTCCTGTGTCCCCTCCTCTCAGCAGTCCCAGCCACACGTTCTTATGGAAGGTGCTGGAGTGTATATAGGGCAGGGCCTTAACAGAAGGGGACTCCATCTGTGCAGCTATTGGGAAGTCCTCATCCATGCTGGAGTAGTACTTTTAGTGTTAGGGTTGTTTGGGGGTCACCCATGAGTCTTATAAATAAGCCCAGTAAGTTCCTTTGTTCCCCAGACTAGACTTGTGTGAGATTGGTGCCTTATCTGAGGGGAGCAGGCCTTGGTTCATGTCTCCCCAGGAAAAGATGAGACAACACTTGCCTGTCATGTGCAAGCCTCTTAGTTCTATTCCCAACACACACACACACACACACACACACACACACACACACACACACACACAC